TAGTATAGATTTCTATGTAACACTCCACCCTCCCTCACACGTACACGCACATACCCACACACACACACATACACACACGACCCCTACTCCCCTCTTCAAAAGTAGAAGAGGCGATGAACCACGTAGTTCTCTGTAAGAAAATGTTGTAATTTACGAATGTTTTCCCGCCTCATCGACTCAATTAAGACTATTTAGGGGGTGGGCTGCTTTGACTTTTCCTTGTGAGGGATAACCCTAGCTTAGTGGGGTACAAGGTCACTGCACACAGAAAGTTTTTTCTTCTTTTTTTTCAGAAATAAAAACAAAACAAAACAAAAAGTCTCAAAGAAAAATATACCCTAAAAACTTAAAGAATTTCTCAGCCCCGTAATGGAACTCACATCACAGAAACCGATCCATTCTTTCTTTTAAAAAAGAAGAAAAAAACAACAACAAAACATTCTTCCTAAACGACTCGAGAAGTCTTCAGATGAGAGCAATTATTATTGAAGGTTACTGGAAGGTGATTAAGACTTCTATGTGGCTGTAAGGACTGAGCAGTTACTAATGACAGCAACAATGAACTAGAGGCAATAGAAATTAAATCAAGTATAATAATATACAGGGTGATCCAAAAGACCACCTGTACAACTTTTTTGTAAATATTTTTCTCCACACTGAAGTTTTGAGTTTCAAATTTGTACACACCATTTGGAAGTCAAAAGGAATGGGTCTGATATTCATTTTAGATAAATCCACCAAACAGTTTTGCTCTAAATAGCGCGGAAAAGAACAACCCATTTTCAGCTATGTCCCCATTTTTGTAACATGACGCACTAGTTCGCATTAGGTCTACGGTCCTACCACTAAAAATCCCAACGATTGTGCCCTATTGCAAACTACAGTAGTCTAACAGGTCAACAGAAGTTTACAGATAGTTTCTCTCAAGTTTCCTTTGCCTGCTGAGATCATGGTTAAGGTTAGCAAAGAGCAGAGAACTTTTTGTATAGAACATTTCCTCACCACCAACTCATGTCGTAAGTTCTGCACAAGGTGCCATACGGAAATAATGCTAAAGTGCCTCTAAGGCATTCTTTGAAGACAAGGGTGGAAATGGTCCATCAGTTAGGACCTGCAGAGAATCAGACCTAAAAATTCCCGGACAAAATGACCACTTCAGGTCAAACATACAGCGTTCGCACTCCTTTAAAGGTCACCAGAGTGCATAATTCAGTAGATGAGCCCCATGAGACGTCTGTCCGTAGACGATGTCTGCAACAATACGTTTCTACATCTCAACGGTCCGGATTCTCGAGGCAGATCCTCATCTTCGACTGTACCATTTTTCCCGTTCGCGAAGCTATCAGAGGATAGCAATGTGTCCATGATTCCTCAATCGTCTTGAAAAGCGTGAACATGCCCTCAATGACATTTGGTTCCTTGGCAAAGCCCACATTCACCTTTCATGTGTATTTGGGCAACCGCACCCCCTCTCCCTACCTATTGTCTCTAGAAACATCTCTATACTGAAAAGTGTATCGTCTGCGTGGCTTTGAGTACTCATGGTTGAGTGGATCCTTGTTTGGCACCTCTGAACGAACGACACGTTAAAATGTGTCGAGTCCAAAGGAGGACATATAGACCATTGGTTCTTGGAATTCCAAAATTTATACAATATTTTTTTAAACTCGGTAGGAGAAAAAAAAATACTGTTTAAAAGTTACAGGGATGGAAGGATTAGATTCAAAAATTGAAAAGAAAGAAAAAAAATCAAACCAATCATTTCATGACTCTTCATTTCAAGATCTTTTAAATTGGTCTATTTTGCATTTATAGGTGTTTTTTTGTAAACGCCATTTCTGCCTTGGAAATTAAGTTTCTTCTTCGTGAATTTTATGTCAAACAAATTCCTTTTGAATGAATTATATCTGTTCCAAATTACAACCTTCTAGTACAAATTTTGATCGAGATATTTAGAAAAAAAAAAGTTTTTTTGGGACTCCCTGTAGATCAGACCGAAAGGCTAGGACTCAGATGACCGCTGGATCGGAAAGTTAAAGTGTAAGTAAAGTATAATAATAGAAGAAGGCGTGAGAAGGTCGTGAAAAGAAAAGAAATGATACCAATGTAGAAGTCGGTCACAATGGAAGACGCCAGCCTGGGATAGTGACTAATCAATACGGTGAGAAAAAGACGAATGCAGTTCATATACGGGGTGCCCACTACGGCTGGATCGCCCGACTCGGTCGCCTGAAGCTGAACACAAACGCGTTTGTTTTTGAGGCGATCGAGTCGGGCGATAGGCCCGTTCGGCCGATTCCATCTGTAGTGGGCACCCCGTATCCAGGCAGTTGGATGGACACGAAGACCTTGAGCATCTCTCACTTAGGAAAACAGGTGGCAAAGGAGGCCGAGGAAGACCAAAGGGAACCAACTTTTGAAGAAGAAAAAACCAAAACCCTTCAACCGTCAGTGATACGCTGGTGAAAGTTTTTCTTTTTTTGGACGTCACTCGTTGTTTTATTCAGTTTGAAACAAAAGTGCACAAAAACCTCACCGTGTTTGTGAAATGCCTGTTATTGCGACCAGCTATCTTAGAGAATGTCTGAGAAAACTCTTCAGTGAGATAAGTAGGGAGACCGGACGTTCCCCTCGTGTCGGTTTGAGTAATACCAGAGAGGGTTGGTAATACATACAGCTAGAGCTAGCTACGATGTCACACGCTGTGGAGTGTGGTCATGTGAACGCTTCGGCATTAGTATTACTTGTCGCTTTTCTTTTGATTTTCATTGAAGAAAAAGGAGGAGTGAAAAGGTCGGGGAGAGAGAGGGGGGGGGGGGTGTCAATTAGAGATAGCGGTTCTTTTGGGTTACAAACAATGTTATAGGTTCATCTGGCCTTGGGAGTTGTTATCTGCGTATCATATGACTTTTTTTTTTCACGATACGTTTCTTTTTTTTCATTTTTTTTCCCATTTTTTTCTCCTTTTTTAGAAAGAAAAGGGTTGGGGATGGGGTTGATTTATCATATAGAAAGTCAGTTTGTCAGTCAGTGTTTTAGATCATTGGCCCACATCACATAAAACACGCATCTTACACGAGAGTTTGCCTTGAAATCAACATTCAGAATGCATGATCTATCAGTAACTTGCGTTGTTATAAACAAAAGTTTCCATAATTAAACCATACAGGTAGTACATATCATATATACCTTTCCTCACGGGATGAATTATGTTGTATATTTTTATCACTTGGTTGAGCAAGGCAAGGAA